AGCCTTTGTACGCTGATGCGAATGAGCCGATGCAGGAACACCCGCCTGCCTCATTCATTCTAAAATAACGAGAGATAAGCATTTTTATCGTTCGATATTGTAAACCCGGCCAACTAGTCTCCGTGTGAGCTCCCATGATCGATTGATCATGATGCAATAGATACATGTACGTGAGCTCTGGGCGCTCAGTTAAACTAATACGAACAACCAATTGGTAGAGAATAAGCGGGCGTCCTCTTCTACTCTCACGATCGATCGCTTCACTCGCGGAGAACTACTATTACATACTCTGGAGCTGCCGAGTCAATACGAGGAGTTCCTAGGAGTAACTACCGATAAGCTGGTGATAGCTGCCAAACTGGTTCGCATTAATATATTTCTCGGCGGATTGAAAGTTAACTACCACGTGGCTCGGGGACCAATCGTTTGAATCACGGAGCTGTCGATCAAAGTACCTCACAGAATTACAGAAGGGCAAGTCTCACTTGAAGCGTCGTGGTCATGCCGTATCAGGAGTTAGCATGATATGGGGGTTATTGAACCAAAGAAGGCTGAGAAATATATTGAGCTTCGCACGGTAGTCCGTGCGTGTCCTTGACCCAACCCTGTCGATCGACTCGTCGAAACTTGGGAGGACCCTGACCTCACTTCCTGATTGCCAGTTACCTAACCTCACTTCCTGATTGCCAGTTACCTAACCTCATGAATTCACCTGCGCTATTCACCCGCAAATCCGTTAACGTGCCCACGAGACCTGGAAATTTCAGTAATGGTGCAAACGTGACTTGGTCGGACCTCGCTCGCGGCAAAGGGTATACGTATTCAACACGCGCAGTTTATACCGCGTCTGGAGAGGTGGGGATGGGAATGTGGAATTTTATATCGGTCCGTAGCTAGGTATATTACATAATAATATAGACGTTGTTGATCCCGCGCGGTTATCGGCGCTGTTGATATCGATATATATATATACCTAGTACCGATCGCGAAGGAATAATGTTTTTCCTCCCCGATGAGATAAGGTTAGGTTTCTCGGGCAATGAAGTAGAACTCTAGAAGGTACAACTAGGGTCCGGGGCCGGGATCAACAAGGCGATGTGCGAAATTCGAAATTAGTAACTGCAGGTCAGACGAGGTTATTTTAACAATTCTACAAGCTATTCTGCATAAGAGTAATCTTTATACTATGTTTCCTCTTGCCTCTTGTTGTTTGGTTAATCTGCTGCCCAGTCTTTGTTAATTCTCTACGTTCAATTTGCAATTTGGCAATTGGGCGGCTCATCCCGGGGTGACGGTTTATGGCCATAATTTGGCCAACTAGGTGATGAATAGGCGAGCTGTGCATCATCTCATGAAAATGCGTGCTTATACATAACAGTGATTCAAACCCTTTCTAAGGTTTGGGGAATACACATACGCGTTCTGCAGGTGATTCTGCAGCTATGTACCTTCATACAGTTGATAATTAATGTCGTACAAGTTTCCCTTTGGAGAATTAATTCCCGGCCGGTAGGGTAAGATGGCAGGGCCATACTCCCGGGTTTGTGCACTCGCATTACTCTAGAGTTCAGTGTTCCTGCATAGGGCTGTGTGTGCGTGGTGACGCATGCGCAGGGCAGGGCAAGTCCCAAACCTATTGGGTTGTAAAGCTTACAACAAACATCGAGACTAATTAAAGCGTTGCAAGGTGTTTTGTGAAAGTATTGTAGTGAGTAAGGATCCAATTGAAGGTTTTATAAACAATTGACGTGAATTCAACCTGTTATCTGGCCGACTACATGCAATTTTTTAATAAAAATAGCTAGATCATCGAGGAGGATTACCAGTACCTAGCTAGACCCTGCTGGATTCGTACGGCGATAGGGTTATGAGCTCGAGACGATGCTAGCTCTATACATCTACCAGCTTTGGGAGGTTAGATCTGGTCTTTTGGGTGGCTTTTATGGATATACATGTATCTATACGCACTACAATGTAGTACACATATCCCGGTACCCTTTAGCCCATGTGCATGTAGATACATGCAAATACTCTACTCGACCTCTACATACGTGCACCTAAACCAACAGTCGGACCAATACATGTATTTACTAGAAAGCTGAGATATAAACATGTAATTTGAACCATGCTTCAAACGCGGCCCCGCAAATCATATTTCATCAATGCGTTGGTGTCTACGTGTTAATTGGATGCATGGCAACTAGCGCTATCGTTAACGTCATTGACAAACCCGGTCTCCCTTCAAAATTACATGTAAGCATCACAATAAAGTTAATCTATAATGAATGACATGACCTCAGCTAGCCAGGATGTCTCGAGCTCCCTTTACTCAGCCAAAAACATCGACTGCTCCACACGGCAATACAAGAAAACCCCACGATCCTACAGCTGATTGACTCTCGAGATCTCGTCCCGAGCTTTTTGAGTATGGATATTGAAAACATTAGTGAATGGGCAGTACTCCTTGGATGATGATTGTCGCCGTTCAGCTCAGCCGATGACTACGTGTAGGTCGAGCGATTTCGCTGAATATTCCATGGGCTGATGCAGTTATTTAGGTACGCGTATGTGTCAGGTCTCCAGGAGGCTATAGGTACACAAAGCGACACTTCTCACGAACCACTTCTAACCGAGTCTCAGTTGCGGACATGACAAATTCAAAACTCTCATAAGATCGGACCCCTAAGATCTGACGTCGATTAAGCATTGAATATTGACGAGTTTCAAATACAGGCGGGGTAAATATATATCTGATGATCTCATGGGATCTACAGGCCCACAATTCCCACAAATATTCTCCGAGAGGTTTTTCTCGGGAGTCATGGATGGTTATGGACGATAAGGCTCGAGGATCAAGTCCAATATTCTCGTGTTATAAATATCAGATAGCGCTGTGATTGTAGCTTCAAATATGTTGAACCTTTCGACAAAACTATCGAATGGATCCTGGGGCTTACATACATACATACATATTAGGCTTAATCTTGATAAGGGAGTTATCATACATAATCCGCTCTTTAGGTATTAACGTTCTACTATCTTTAATTTTCCCTAACTTTGGAGCGTGCAGTAACTACTTCACCTTTACGCTCATAGAGCACCTACACCAATCGCAAAGTATGGCCATTTCATAGTGTAATAGATTCATTTTATACTCATATAAATTAAAATTCTATCGTTGAAGCTTGAATGGATTAATCGAGGTCTCTACTGCCAATCTGTGGAGTTTATTCGGGAAACTTCTCGCCTAACATTATTCTAGTAGCAAAAATTACAGACGTTTCTCAGATTGTTCATAACTTGATGATACGACCCCGGAAGAGGATATGACCTAGGTCATTACCTTTTACGATCCATGGGTCCTCGACTGGGTCCTAACACTGACCGGTCGTTACGGGTTGTGGGTAATTATTAGACGCGAATGCGAGTATTTAAGCGCCGCTAGACGCTGACCCCCGGGTAGAGTTGGGGAGTACGCGACGTCCAAGCTAATCAGTTTCCACAACTGCGCCCTATTTTAATGATCTCTCTTTCATTCGACCGGTTTTTACCTATTCTATCACTCCACAGAGCCCAAAGTAATTTGGATGTTCTGTGGATGGGAGCTGTTTGGGCGGGGTTTTGAGGGTGAATGTCGCGGAGCAGGTTAATCAGCAGCAGGGGGCGAGCGGTGACAGCCTAACTGCTGCCCAGGAGGCTGGGGAGGGAGGGGAGGGAGGGGAGGGAGGGGAGGGGGTAAAGACGAACAAACGGGGAAGGTGGGTGCTGTTTCTGGGTTCTGGAATTTCGTAGATGGCAGTTAGTTGTGGGAACATTGGGATTGAGGATGTCACAGATGCGATATTTAATCCCGAATCTAACTGTTTCTTGGCATACTCCAGCTCAGGAACCCCCGGCCATACCTACTGGATACATATCGTTATTCTTTCTTAAAAAAATACGCTCAGGAGCCCCCAAACATACCTACTGGATACATATCGCTATCTTAAAGAATATCTAGGGAAACGCGCCTCTCAGAACATATTTACTAATCATCCACAAAGTGCGATTTATAGACAGGGACGCAGAAAGGGCGCAATATAGCACAAGCTGATAAGTTGTGACCTAGTTAGAATTAAACGCAGATTATATTTCATGTCAATCAAATTGGCACGCAGTAAGTTTTCAACACTTTCAGTCTAGTCTGCGCGCGTGTATGTATCCACCTGACTTAATCGCTCGAGTAGACAATCTTCTACAGTTCTGCTTCTTCACTTATGAGAGCTCCCGGTAGTGATGAAACAAACACATGTACGATACGGGACGCAGAACTAGAGACCACGCAACCAAACGATCTCCACATCGCATCTCTGCTCATAAATTTGAATTGGGTTTATTTTTGATCTTGCCGGTTAATTGTCGCTTATCTGTGCTTTGATAGCGTCATGTGATTACAATGTACTTCCTGTGTGTACAGTTAACCAAAGCCGGAGCTCTCATGCTCAGGACGAAAAAATATTTACAACTATTTGGGGTAACACCTTTTTTTTTTTCTTTTTTCTTTTAACTGATTTTGTTCGAGGATTGGGGTATGACTGAAATGGTATTCTGAGAGCTCAGTCGACTCGCAAGTTGTTTCACAACGACTACTTTGGGGAACTAAGTTCAAATTGTGGGGACGCTGAGTTCTTTTTCTTTTCCCATGTGTTCGACCTGTAATATTTTCCATGTCAATACTACTAAGATGGGAGGGAGTGAATTAGAATATAAATCAAAATGGTTCCTTCACTTATCTTGTCTGGCCCCTCATACATATGCGGACTAGAGGATAAACTTGAATAGACCTTCACTACCACTTCCTGTGATTTACTGGTATGGTTCTAGCCTACATGACCGTCTGATATCCTCTCTTTTTCTTTTCTTCTTTAAACTAATATATATTTTTAATAGCTACATACATCGATATCCCATATCTCGGTCATTACCAAGCTTTAGCCAACACGCAATTAATATCAATCGTTATGGGCTGTGATGATTCCAATGGCATGGAGAAGGCCGGCGTGAAACCTGGGCACACCAAAAAAGAACCCTGCCTTCTCTGCAAAAAACTAATATCGGCCAGCCTGAAAACCCAGAAGTAAGATTGAATCATTCCATTGGTGCTTGATAATAGCTCTTGTCTCACAATCTCTATAGAAACCATTTGAAGCGAATGCATATCAAGCCTCTGCAATGCGGAACATGTGGCTTGTTCTTCGGTAAACGCTATGAACTCAATCGTCATTATAAGAAACTCTGCGAAGGAAAACCACCGCGACAGTTCAAAGAGGTTACAAAACATGCTATGAGTTTCGCCGAGAGTATCAATCAATGTACAAACATGAAGCAGATCAGAGAGGTTTTATTTAAGGATGGTAAAAAACGTTACGACTGTAAGGAGGAGATAGACAGTGAGCGAGGCCTTTCCTATTTCCGTTTAAACTTTTAACCTGTCATGAAATTGATATATATTGACGTAGTCAAAGACCTAGGTGATTCGATGGAGTACGACGACCTCAGCAGTAGGGACGGCGATCATGAAGTAGAAGACTCCGAGATGCAAAATGAAAGATTGGCGGATTCCGTGGACTTTAGCCCTACACCGGAATTATCCAATTATGAGGCGGAACTCGAAGGTGAGTTTGATTTATCGTTATTTTTAACCCTTAATTGCCGGCCTATTCAATCAATTACCCTCTTCAGGATCCATAACCATAACTAATATCATTGATATTCTTTGTTACTATAGACCAATACAAAAATTTTATGTCGCCTGGGCCTTGGGACCAAATACTAGGATCCATGTCCGGAGGTGGTTTTAACACTGCAGAACAGTGGAACACAGCTTTTTGTTATCCCGTTTTTGTGGAATGTTCTGATGTGTGAGAGTTTTGTTGATCAGTTTGGTGGGGAGTTGTTTGTGCGTGATCCTTTGTCAAATTTGTTGTTTTCATTAACCCGCGCATGGGGATACGTATTTCATTTGTTTTAGTCTATGTAGCTAGCCTACAATGTATCTATGCAGTACTATTACTGGTTTCAAAACATCTGGCCGGCCACTTATAATCATATGATCGTTCGTATATCTATATATATATATCAGAGCATATAACTTTGTGAGGACATTAGCCATTCGGGACCGTAAAGCTTGATGGCGAGGAATAGATCGAGGATGACAACTTGAGGATTCTTGATCTTTGGCACTCCAAGTTGGTTACTCGATTGTTCACCAAACACTGTACGTTGAACTAAAAAAATGCCCCCCTAGTACTTAGGCTGTCAGGCCGAATATATATGACTAGTGGGAATTAACTAAACATAGAAAATATGACATCAAGAACTGAGGAATTGAACATCCACTCATCATCTACTACTAGTATGTACAAAAAATCTGATATATTAGACATGTACCACGCATTGTCTGCTGCTAGTACAAAAATCCGATATATAAGACATGTACCATCCTGATAGTACATCATCTCTTTCTGAGCGCTCGATCGTGAGCGTTCACCCACCACAACTTAATTCCGTTCTTAGTTAGTTTACACGAACTATATCCGGCCTGACGGCCCAACTGAAAGAAAATGTTTCTCGTGGTCATTTTGGTATGTCTCTATGTTGACTGATTAGAATGGTTGGCGCTAGTTGGGCGGCCTAGCAGTTGACCAATTGGCTACTACGTAGCTTAATGTTAATATATAGCACTAGGATGTTATCATATACATATGTGTTTACTGAATAGGATCTTTGAAACGAGCTAGCGTCCCATAGGCCATAGCCGGCACAGATTGGTAGGTTTTGTTTGGGTCAGCTTGTCTCCAACCTACATGTAGCTAGTGTATTCATATCACTCGCAATTCCTACCGAACTACATGTTACAGCTTGTATGTAGAAGATCGAGTTGCAGCTAACATAAGTCTTGCTTTATTGTTGTAATAGCTCACGAACTCAGTTTAGTCACGAGCTAGCTGGCTTTACGGGCTACATGTGCCGGCAATCGCGCAATCCGGTACGCAGATGAATTCAAGTTGGTTATTGAAGATTGAGACCAACTTTTAATTTCCCTCGCAGACGTTGATTCTTCTTAATGTACGCTGAGATCTGGACGCGGGATCTGGTCTACATCTCAAGAACAACTAGCTGGACGCTTCGATATCTGTAGAGTTCGCGAAACACGTATATAATACCTAGTCTCTGTGGTGTTCTTAATTAATCAGAATCATCACCGACAAACATCCACGGCCTTATATTATTCATATTATAAAACAATAACTAGCCAGCTTACGACACACAATTGAACCTTCTCGAGATAGCCTCTAGTAATATTCTAGCGGTATATGGGTGCACATTAATCACAACGATATCAACCCTGAATTCAATTTATACACATACCATATCGAGTAACAGCAGTATATATATATATATACATCGTACCAAAAACAGCCCCACGCAAAATTATCCCTGGAAGCCTAGCGTAAATTAACCGACGTTACCTACAAAAAGTTCCGTCAACCTAGCTCATTGAAATGGCGATGAATTCGGAACCTGCATGTGTTGGAACATCTGCTGCTTCGAACTCACACTCATACATTTGCCCGCTTTTCATTTTCTACCAGAGCATTGGTGAGAAACCTCACAATGATTGCGTTAAGGGAAGGTTTAGCACACTCAAGCTTTTCATGTGAGTACATATACACTAGTGGCCTTAGTTATAATGGAATTGCTAACTGATAACCCGCGTATAGCCGGCACATACAAAGGTTACATCTCAAACAAATGAGATGTACTAAATGCAGTTTGCGCCTTGGGTATGATATGAATAGACACGTGAAAAACAATTGTAAGGGAAAGGATAGCTATAGAGAACCGGAGGTACCAAAGAAAGTCATCGACCTGCACAAAAGTCTTAAAGGCAAAAACTTTCAAGAAATCAAAGATATCTTGATCAAAGGCCGCGAGGTGGTGTACGACTATCAGAAAGGTTAGTCGTCATATATATGCTATCTACACTCCGTCGTCTATAAATATACTAATTAGGGATCTTTTTATATCGCCTCAAAAAGAGCCTCAATCTATCAAGATAGACGAAGACGAAGATGAAGATCCCTCCATTGAAGAAAGCGCCATCAAGACTGCCGAAGACGAAGATGAAGATCACTTCATTAAAGAAAGCGCCATAGGTTTACCATTGCCTGGTACTGCAGTATGGCGCAACGGTCAGTGGGAGTCAGAGGATCACGATATTAGTAGCCCAATTGCATATTGATATTACGGATTATCAAAAGTAATAGGACGTAACGGAACAACGAACACCGCAATATTATTGAAGGAGAATGATCTAGTACGTGTTGATCACTGGCCATGGGTCCAGAAAGCGGGGGTATTATAACGTCGGCCAGCTGGATCTGAATTAAGGAGGGAAAAGGATCTAAAATGTGGTAGAGAGTAAAGCTTGTTTGAAAATTATCTGTTGTTTACTTAATTTATTTCTTTATGTCAGTACTACAGTATATATACATACATGTACTTAGCGCGTAGTTTGCAATTTGACAAATGGATCATCAGGGTTAGGGGTATGAACACCAAGCCAAGTGATATAAACCTAGGGTTAGGGTTAGCTGGCCGGCTTGTAAAAACACGGAGTCTAAAGGAGATATACTGTTTAATTGGGAGACTATATTTCTGTGGGTTTGACAACTGAGGGTTGATAGCCATGGCAAAGGCGGGAGCTGGAGTTGGTTTTGGCACCCTACATGTACATGCATACATGTACTCTACATAGTTGTGGTGAGAAAAAATAAGTCCGAGACGTTGCTTATTTAAAAACTCCGTTTTCATAGATCAAGTTATTGCCGAACACAATTACAACCACATTACCCAGAACGGAGTTTTCGCTAAACCGGAGTTTCACGTCACAGAACCCCGTTTCGGACTGCTCCCAAACGGGCCCTATAGGGCTAATTCGTTACAGTCGAATCGGCCTATAATTATAAGGGTACCTCTTATAAGGGTATCGCCTTATAAGGGTATACGTATACACCCTATAAGGTACGACTTCGCGACATTTTTGTACCCTTATATGGCGATTCGACTGTAATACTGTGTTTTCTTCCCGGGTGAGTGGTCTTTCTCTTTAGTTGCTTTCTGGCGTTCCTCGTGTATAGGAGAAAGAAATTGTTTTCTACTTTCGGCTATCCGTATAGAAAAAAAAGAGAAAAAAAAAAACACCATATTCAATCTGTATTAGAAAACGTTTCTTACACCCTAATGGCCGCGCTTAATTGTTGATTATATATATGCATATGATTATATTGGAAACCGGCGCCACCAGCATGGGCTAGCTTGGTCATTGGCCGATTGAATAATTTTTGGTATGTATTTTTAGCGTGTGGAAGCCCACTGGCGTCCGGTCCTTCATGCATAGGGGCACGCACATATATATTTACATAGTCTGGGTCATGCATATGGTTAATCACTCGTGCGTACTTATGGAAGGGCTGTGATTGGATTGATTGATTGATTGATAGTTAATTAATAGGATTGTGATTGGGAAAGAATCTGATCGGCTCTATAGATCTAACAAATTAAAGGAAATATGTACATGATACAATCAAGTCTTTTTCTACGCTTGAAAACCAGCTTTGGTTATTGTAAGCACTAAGTACAGCGTCCGGAAGAACGTTGGTCACGTCGCGGGTACCAAAATTATAGTGGAGGATGAAGGTTGAAATTCCCATTGACCTATTATCCTTTGCGTTTTATGTGAGATCCATATGACCAATATTCCTCAGGACCTACTAGTAGTAGATTTCCCCCCGTATCCAACTGGTAAGGTCAATCAATATTGCTACACACGAGATCGAGAGACAGTATACAACTTAGCTTCAGCGCGCGTAAGTACTAGTTCCATGGATCCAGTTAATCTAGAAACAATTGAGAACAGAGCTATAGTAGGTACGCTCATTAAAGATTATAATTAGCAGCTAGCAGAGCTCTCAGGTACGCACATTATGACTAGTCAAATTGGGTTCAGTACGCCCAATTGATCACGTTCACAATCGATCGTAGGTTCGCGGAATGCATGCTATTATTTTCAAATGTTTCAAATCTCCAGCTAGGTACTACCATACTAGAGGTATTTCAGATGTTACCTTGTCATGAGTAGATGAGAACGCCGGCCTAATGTCTTTAATAAGGCTCTTAAGGAGCTCCCCAAGTGTGATTCCTCTCATCAATCATCTTCTTTTTCCTCTTTCTCTCAGTTTTTCGGTCAATCTTCTTTTCAATATCAATATACTTGGACTCATTTTTATACAAGTATGCCTTTGATCAATTGAGTAGTTTTTATTCAGTAGTTTTTACTCTACTAATGAATCTAGAAAGGTAATCAATGGCTGTTCTTACTTACCCTTGCGTGTACGGTGAGAAATCTCAAGATCCGAACTACAAATGCAAAAACATTCGGAAGAGTCCGAAGCTTTTACGGTATTTTCTCCATGTAATATAACATATTATTGGGTCCGTGTTACTGACTGTCTACATGAATTAAGTCGGCACATAAGGAGAGAACATCTCAAGCACTTGTATTGCAGTCAATGTTTCAAGCGGTTTGGGAATAAGTTCGAGAGAGACAGGCACACAAAATTAGAACGTGCATGCGAAAGATCTAGAGCCAAACCAGAAGCACCGGTCCCGCAATATGTCATTGAGCTGGCGAGTAAATTTAATGCCTGCAAATTTCAAGATTGGAATAATCTTTTGTTTAAAAACGGGAAACCTATATATGATTATCAAGGTAAGCTGCCATAACTGTCAATATCTTGTTCACACCCTTCAACTAAGGATTTGTTGATCAATTAATTAAAACTACATATAGACCCGCAAAACTGCGCAGAAACACACGACAGCACTGGCAACATGAGCATTATCTCTTCTCCGGAAACCGGACGTACTTCAGAATATGATCACCCCAACGAACCGAGTCTCAGTACTGTCGGCCACCAGCACATGAACCTTAACTATGGCCACTCAATAGTTAATGGGCATGCAGAGCTAGCTCGCCCTAATGGAATTTCCATCGCAAGTACCGGCGCCTCCCTGGTGGAATACCCTGTCCATTCTACCGCCGAAGCCGCCAGTTTCTATGACCCCGACTCTTCCCTGGAAGACTGTCCTGAAGAACCCTCCACCTCTGATGATGATGTCGATGATTACGATAATGAGGTCGATGGTGAATTCGAATCGGACACCGAGCCTACCATCGAAGCCACCGGTTTCCCTGAGAGCCCAGCCTCCGGTGGTGATGTATGCGAATTGGATTGCACTACGTCCACTACCGAAACTATGGATTTCTGTGACTTTGACCCTTCTCTAGGGAAATACGCTGATCTTACTCCTGAAGACGCCGGTTTCAGTGACTTTGACCTTTCCCCGGGTGACAATTCTGAGAAACCAGTCCCCGATGATGTAAATATGTGGAATGACTTTGATGATCTTCCTGAAGCACCTATCGATTCCGCGGTGGTTGAACCCTCCCCAGAGAATAACGTTACAGAGCAAGCTTCTGTAGTTCCCTATTCTATGGACATGGATCGATGGGATGGTCCCGTCGAACAGAAACCGCTTGTTGATACGGATATTCCTATGGACACTTCTCTAGACAATATCTACAACAATACGTATCATGGACATGGGCTCAGAACCGAGATTTTTACAGTGCCAGTTAGATCCTCCGAAGGTCTACCATATTCAGATAACGCGTTCTACTCCGAGGACAACTCCGATAATATTGGCCAGTTTCATAATGACACCAACGCGGGAGTCAGCCCTAAAGACCTGATTCGAAATTATTGGTGATAGGCCCTTCATGAGAGAAGATTTAGCTTATGTGCTAAATGTATAAATGTAGGGCCGCCGGATAGTGATTCAGTGCGTTGGGGATTTTGGGGATTTTGGGGATGTTTTGTGAAGGTGGTGGAGCGAATTTTGCTTTTGCGTTCTTTTTCTTCTTCCTATACAAGCTTGAAACTACTCTCACCTTTTCCTTTTGGTCTTTCCTATATTTCCAACCTACAAGATGGTGAAACTACTCTCGTTTTTTTTCTTTCGCATATCGATCTAAAAAATAGCAAAATTTCCCTCTTTGTTTTTATTTCCTATACCGAACTGCACAGCTTAAAACTGCCCTCGTTTTCTTTTCGTTCTGCAATGTTTATGTCTCGCAATGTTTCATGTCTTTCTTTGATTTCATGCATATATGGCCGTCAATGACCACCAAAAAAATGTCTTTTATCTATCAAATCTCGATTACATATTTTTCTTTTATATAACTGGATATATATGGTTTGAACTGGTTCGGATCCAGTATCATGGCTATTTAAATGAAAATAAAGTGTCGAAATCTCTCCAATAGTTATTTCCGTATTGTGCTCTGATCATGTCTAGATCTGGCCATGTCACTAGAACGCAAACTATATATGACCAAATATTAATAATTATACCCGCCAATCTCATACCACATCTGAATACCATAAAAGTTTTGATCTAGGAACTTTTTAGTACAAGGATCCGGACATGTGAAGATCTATATATACCTACATGTACAGTACCGTAGTTAAACATATCTACGTCACAAGCCATCACTCGGTCAATCGGTACATCTCGGAAGTGCCTTTTATGCATATATGCCCAATACCGCAAGGTCTCGGGAATAACGAATTTAATTGGACCAGGAATGTTTTCCTCCGGATTGGTCAGATTGGTGCTGAACCTCAATCCCCGTAACATTCAGTTGGCTCGACCACTGAGAGTGCAGCTTTCCAAAAAGAAACGTAACCGGCCACCAGTACTAATCACTTTAACCGTAGCCTTGCTTACATATAACTTTGCTAGAAGTACCGCTCTATGTGCTATGTTGTTTGGCTGGGCCTAGTATTATGAAAACAGCTGTAATTCGACCGTGTGCTTTGGGGTGGTTGATAATAGCCCCAAACCCTCTAAGTTATAACAAATTCATTACGTAATAGCTATAAAGATATACTTTTGAGAACCCTTTGGTTTTGACCCTCGGCATATGCATTCTTGTTCTTCAACGACGATCGCGACGAAGTAATTTTAATCATAAGCGATCACTCGCTCCAGCATAAGGTATGCCAATAAAAAAATAATATATCGATCAGCTCTATATCCAATTGCAAGATAAAATCCATTAAGAGCACACTTAGCCTAAATATCATTATCTTTTTATCATGCGTGGAAACGAGGAGAAGAAAAGCACCGTGGTACAAAATTTTGGTGCAGATTGTGTAAGTAACACAAATTAGCTGTGAAGTCTTCATTAATTGTGTAAATCGCCTTTTTATGGAGTCCAATTGTGTTAATAACACATAAAAAGTGTGTAGAAATTTCGAAACACAATGAAAATGTGTAAATCTCTGACTTAGAAATTTTGAGATTTTTGTCAATCAGTTACACAATTCTATTGTGTTCGCAATATTTCAATAAACCTCTTTTTTAAAAATCGATTTTTATTTATATTTATTTATTATTTTTATTATTTTTGTTTATTATTTTTATCTTATCTGACGGGTTTCTAAAGCTCAATTACTTAGGATGATATGTAAATTGTTCTATAGCTCAAATTGTTAATTCACACCTAGTAGTATACTCACCCCAATAAGGTCGGATGTTCAATTTTGTCCAAAGTCATTTTTACTTTTATATTCGGTTTTATGCCAGTAACACAAGTCTATAGTGTCAAAAACACAGTATAACCACAGTTTACATGTGTCAAGAACACAATTCCAACACACAAGAATTGTGTTTTTCTACACATTTTTGACACATTTTTGACACATCGAAATAGTGCTATAGACACAGTTCCAGCACAGTTCCAGCACAGTTCCAGCACATTTTCGACACATTGGCACATTTTCGACACAGCACGCAATTGCACAAAACCCCGGTGTTTTAATGCATTATTATTAGCACATTTTGGTTGTGTTACTAACACCATAACACGACACATACGAATTGTGTTACTAACACAAGCAAATTTGTACCCTGGTGAAAGTAGATCGACAGTATTACAGGCAATACTTAGCCCTAGGCACTTGTAGCCTTCCGATGTTGACTTCATGTTTTATTTGTATGTTCGATTGGTTAGTGCCCTGCCTTGCTTCTTTTTTTTGTTCTTCTCCTAGATCCTGCCGTCTAGTTGCTCTCTTGTGATTGGCTCTTTGGAGTCTTAAATATTTATTCCTTTCATTGGCTGCTGATGCCCTCCACCACGCGCATAAACGTCTTCCGTTTATATAATCCATACGCCAGCATTAAATCCCACCGGCCTTCCTTCACACATCCCAGTAGAAACATCTACCTATCACCCCAGCGAGGCACTCCTGTATGACCAGAGCTTGCGATGGTATAACCGTACCGACCACCGGAACCCCGTCCACGGATTCATGAACCAGGTCCGGCTTTATGAGACTCTGCACGCCTTTGCATAAAGGCTCGAGCGAGAAGTTCTAATCGTGGGGTTCGGCCCGGCGTGACCGTGAGTTGTGCTACATGTGCGGCGGGTGAGTATGGGCGGCGGGCGCTTTGGATTTTGGGATGCAGGATGCCGGGCTGTTGTATTGAAGGGTGTAATGTGGTTGTTGTTTTCTGCGCTCTTTACTACCTGTTCTAGATCTTATTACTGTGTCAATTGAAAAGTTAGTTGTCCTTGTTGGAGCTTCTTCCTTCTACTCCTGCAGTCTCGATCTCTTCTGTCTCTACTCCGAATTACAGTTATAGTACAGAGAGATCCATTTGATGAGAGGTGTAAATATTGTGGCTGGCTGCTATATATATTAGAGGGGAGAATCCTTCGTCTCTGGCTCTCTCCCCAGCTCTTTATCATCGGTCATTAGTTGGTTACCTACATGTGTTTCAAAAGACCATACACGCCTCAGTGTACGTACCCCAGCTACCCGCACACCTAGCCGAGCCCATTGCAACTGAGCGAACAAAATCACGAAAGCGAAACACCCATTTACGATTAGGTGCACGTACGTACGGCCGGCCCCAAGATGAGAAGAGCCTGCAACGTCCCCTACTCTAGAGTATTTCACATCCTCGGTTCGTCCGCCTATGAGATAAGTTTTACATCACCCTTGTATACAGAACGCATACCTTGTGGAAAAGAGCCTTCCTTGCACGTACCAAGAGCGCGACTTATGCAAACATCGAAAAACGTTTCCCTGCACATGTTGATCTGAGTGCTGGTTGGTAGGATCTGCTGCCTGCGCTAACTACTGTTGAATGGGCACTAGTACCAAAGTAGGTTGCTACAACAAAACATACCCTGCCGTGGTACCAGTACATACTGGACATGAGCGCTCTACTCTAGCCAGACAAAGCACCTAAAATATTCAGAGTAGAGTACCTACATGGTATATACTGAGCTCTCTGGTGTCGCTATCGATAAAACAATCACTATCAAGATTCCTACATGCATTGCAAATTGCAGTTGAGCTCTCCTTAAGCTTATCGCTCGTATCCGTCCGTCTCCATTGAGATCGCAACCGGCACGTACTCTTGTACCTGAGGGCTGAACTGCATAAGTACCTGCTTTCTACGCAGGCACCGAAAAAAAAAAAAAAACCTGCAGGCACAATCCATCCATCCATCCATCCATCGGATGCAAGCCCCCCATCTGACGCCATCTATGTAAAGAGTAGAGCAACGCCACATGTGCTCCTGCACGTTTGCTTTTCTTGTTCCAGCCTCAGCTCAGGTACGACTTTACGTGCATGCCAGTGCAGGAACGGGATCCGTAACGAGTAACGAGTAGGAGATGTCCACGCCTTCGAGAAAAAAACCTTGGTAGGGTGCGTCGGTTCAATTGTAAGACAATTGCAGCACGTCCCCTCTTCTCTCTCTCCGAGCGCCCAGTGGGATCGCGAGGAGAGAACAAAAAAAATTCCGTCTGTCGGCACTTTGGATGAGAAAGGGTGGTGATGATGGCGAGATACATTCATATTATGTATATCGTGCATTATATGAATGTATATGGCGCCTACTTGTACTTACCATCTCACGATCAGGCACTGTCCATGCTGCTCTGGCTCTGGGTCGGTGTTTCCACCTGTTTGCGCATCGCAATTTCAATCACTTCAAACTGAATCACAACTTACGACCTGACAAAGAAAGCCGCGGGATATGGGCCTGAGAATAGAATAATTGATTTACATTTCCTCTTCATTTCCCCAATTTCCCCTCCCCGCGGCCGGCGCAGTCAGAATTGCCCATTGGAGATCAATCATACATACCGCCCAGTGGAGTCAAAGCAGAAGAACGTACACACGCCTGAACACATACTACATACGGTCCTGTAAGCATGTAAGTATGTATATTGGAATCCAGCCAGAAACAGGTCCTCGGCGTATGGATGCGGAAATTCAACTATATCCAAGCCAAGGCAGGCAATCGGAAGGTTAATAACGTGGCAAGGGAATCCTCGTATCTGCGCAGAGAAAAGAGAAAACGCGGCATTTCCTAGCTGCATGGCCTGGCACGGGAAGTGAAGCAGTCAGCTTGTTTAGTTTTTCCAGGTACATGTAGGTACACACATGTACACATGTGTAGGTCGAGAAGCATTTGGGTCTGTCTGGAAGGCCGGGTGCTTGAAGTGAACCCATGGGGTAATACGTGGTGCGGGCACCTTCCCTTGGCCATGGTACCAGCTGCATTGCGCTGCCAGATACAATTTCAGGTTTGTAGACGAGTTAGACAAGTCCGGTACCGAACATGAGGACGATCAGCTGGAAGGGCGGAATATATAAGAACGAATATCCTCCCAATCCCTCACCCCT